AAAACAGTATATCTTTAGAATTTCCGCATTGGAGAAAAACTGTTATTTCCGTACAGTGCTCGCTCTGAACTCGTTGAGTTTGTTAATCAAAATTCGTTAAAGTTTTACAAATAGAAATAGATAAAAAATTCGAAATTCGGCCGTCCAGATGCTTATTTCGGCTGAAGGATTACATTATTAAAAATTGATGGCTCTAGATACTGTCGTTTGTCAATGCGAGAAACATACATGATTCATGCAGATTCTTCATTATTTAATTTCTTTACATATAATACAGGGCGATAATATTTGGTAACAAATATTTGCAAGGAAACACGGGCATTTATAGTAAAACATCGCAAATGCCGTTTCGAACTAACAGCCTTTTAGGCTACCGCCTCTTTGGGCTAAAAATCTTATACAGAACTAAAAAAAAAAATTTAAAAAATAATCACTATAAAATACAAGCAAATTAATTATTACGGTTAAATACAATTTTAATATTAGAATTAAATGTATAAAAATTTTTAAGGGGTCCAATGTCTTTATCACTCTGAGGATTATGAAATATAATTGAAAAAATTCCTTTATAGAAATTGTGCTATAGTAGTCATCTATAATTTTAAAAATGCAAGCAAATTTGAATTTTAAACAAAAACTTCAAAAATTCGTTTTTAAATATTTTAGTATTTTTTATTATTTACACGAATAAAAAGATAAAAATTGCAAGAGAAAATGTGTTTGAAATTTCTAGTAGTGCGATTAAAATATTATTTTCTAAAGAAGTAGAAGTAGTTACAATTTCCTTACAGCATAGGATAAGCTAAAAAAAATCCAGTCCTGAAAGCATGCAAGCTTTATAATATTTGGAACGTTAATTATGCTTGACAAATATGTTAAAATTTTAAAAATAATCTCATTTCAAAAGTAAAAATATGGAGAAATTCTAATTTGTGAAATGAGACGCTACAACCAGCTTTTTCTTGACAATTATACACGCTGCAATAGGCAACCAATGTTAAATTTTTGCAAGTCGTCCCTACTCCTCCGGGATGTAATCAAGGTGACAGCCGGCAACGCCTCAGACAAGGGAGAAAACCGGTTTGGATTAGTCTATTTCTTATAAGGTCCATGCTTGCGTCAGGAAACTCGGAAATTCTTTCACAATAAGCCTGATAGCCAAATTGTCAACAGTGTAGAATTGCTAATGGCTTTCATCATTAACGACTTGGAAGTGTTCTGGTCGCAGGGAATGAGAATAACGATATTCAATTGCTTTGTATTCGAGTTTGCTTTTAAATGACAAACATGCAACTTCCTTTTCAAGCAATTTCGGATGCTACCCATCTAGAACTACAAAAAAAAAAAAAAAAAAAAAAAAAAAAAAAAAACGCAACTGGAGTCAAGTTTAATATTAAAGGGTTGAAATGAAAGCTTAAGAAACCCTATATTCCTCCTAGCTATAACTACGCAAACTTCTGCTTTTGCTTCTTTAAAAACACCATACATGCGTTTATGTGGAAGCAAAAATAACCAGTCTATTTCAATTTTCTTTCCAAATTTAAACATGATAAATTTAATTCAATCAAATAATTTAATAACTAAGAGCCCTCTGTTGCCCAGACGGTATAGTGGTTAGGGGAGCCTACTATGATGCCGAAGGGTCCGAATCCTGGAGAAGGCAGGAGTATTTGTATATGTATAGTGTTTGTGCGGCATGGCGGCACTCTAAATAGGAGGCGAGCCGAAGGTCCTCTCCTGTGAATTGGTGGTGGAAATGAGGGGGATGATTTCCTAGATGCTTTCTCTCAAAACTGGGGGTGGAAAATAGAAGTCCAACCGTTCGTTGGATTAGGTTCTGGCAACCATCGTTCCATATAATATGGACAGTACGCCAGAGACCGAACCTTCGACCTGGTTTTAGAATTGCCATACAAAGTTAGATGAAACGGGCTCTGGAAGGGACTCATCCGTTGCGGCGCAAACCCAACAGTCCCTGCCCGGCTTTATACATAGCCTCAGCGAGGTCGAAATCAAAAATACAAAGACGAAAAATGATACACTCAGTCACCTTTGCCTTCGGGCACCACTTCCTCAGCATCAGTTAATTCGTGATCGGTGCCTTGCCTTACTCTGTCAGTCCCCAGCACTGGGACTATGATGGCCGAACCCCCATCGAAGAGACCCACTTAAATCTACATATCTGCTTCACGACAGCCGATGGAACGGAGACGACAGTACCAGTACGGTCCCTGCCAAGCCCGAGCCTACCTGAGTACAATACTCGGGTTCTAGTCCTGTGAAGAGTGTTTATGTACCCCCGTGATTGAGACTGCCTAGGTACTGATCCTAACCAGTACTTCCCAGGACGTCTCCTGAGTCAACCCCCGGGGGAAATATAATATGGACAACTAAAGACGATACCAACAACAACTAAGAGCTCTCTAAGGCCTTAGGCCCCTAAACGGCTGTTTTCTTTGCATACACCTATTTACGCCACTGCTCCTGCTATAAGTTGGTTGTCTCGAGGGAAAGATATCAAGAAATTTCATGAAATGTACTGCGACGGTTTTAAATAGTGAAACTTGTGTATAAAAACTGGCATATTTAGCTTATATTTTAAAAAAAATGAATGTATATCACTGCAAAGAAAAAATACAGTTTGATTAAATTCTAAGATTAAAATTATGAATAGGTTGAAATGCATGGGAAAGGAAGATATCGATTGCTTCTCTTTAACAAAAAAGCTTTTTGAAGGAAAATAAATCAAGGCTGAAAAAAAAATTCAGAAGAAAACTATAAGCGTTACAAGCTATTTTTATCACGTGCGCCCATGCTTCATCTTCGTCAATTTCACTCTTGCAACTGAAGATGAGGATTCTATTTAATCTTTGAAAGTATAGTCCTGTAAATTTACGCAACTTACCCTGATTATTGTAGCTATAACATTTTTAATATTTGTTTTTCAGCGTGTTATTTTGTTACAATTCGTAATTTTAGTTAGATAAATTAGTATCCCCTCCTCCTTAGTTTCAGTTTTTGTTTTGCAGGACATTCACTCCTCTTTTCATTAATCGATGGCAGATTGATTGTTTTGCCGTCTATATACAAGTTTTAGATATATCTTGTTAGTATTTCTTTAGCGACTTCAATGCGGGTTTCTTCATAGTGTACTGCCTTGAGTTTTTTCCCGACTCTGTTTGCTTACTGAAATTTTGAAGGAGATTTCAGACTTTTTTCCTATCAATCATTCCCAGGCGTTTCCTCAATATTCAGTTAATTCCGGAGAGCCTAATTTAAATTTCTAGCACAATTTACTACCGCTTGCTCATCATTTCAGATAAATGTAGTATTTTTAAAGCTAAAGAAAGTAATATGTGCACGAACACTGCGACCTAAAAGATACAGTTAAATCAACCATCCAAAACTAAAACTAAAAGCGCTTTAGGAATGTATCCTTAACATATCTTTGCAGTAGTCTCAATCAAAATTTTATTCTTAATGTACAGACTAAAAAATATTCCCGTTTCTAGGTGTTCCGATGGAGATCTTTGTCACTGTGAACGGAGCTGTTTCAACTTACATGTTAGATCCCCAACACCGAAAATTAGCTATCATTCCAACAGAAACTTAATTAAACATGATAAACTTATTAAATATGATAAAACAATCAAGATTTATTATTAATGTGGAAACTAAAAAAATATACCTATTTTTAGGAGTTCCGATGGAGATCTTTGCCATTGCGAACGGAGCTGTTTCAACTTATATATTAGACCCCAAGATCCAAAACTAGCTTCCTATCATTCCAACGGAAACTTATTAAATATGATAAATCAATCAAAACTTTATTCTTAATGTGAAGACTAAAAAATGTTCCTATTTTTAGGTGTTCCAATGTAGATTCCCATTGCAAACGGAGCTGTTTCAACTTGCATATTAGACCCCCAACTTCGAAAACGAGCTATTTGTCATTTGAATTAAATGTTGTAAACTTACTAAATATGATAAATCAATCGAAACTTTATTCTTAATGTGGAGACTAAAATTATTCGTATTTCTAGGAGTTCCGATGGAGATCTTTGCCATTGCGAACGGAGATGTTTCAACTTACATATTAGACCCCAACTTCGAAAACTACCTACCTATCATTCCAACAGAAATCCAAAGCGTCAATTTCACGTGGCGGTCTGGAGATCAAAAGGTAAAAAAAATTCGAATTCAGGAGCATTTCATAAGTATGCATAATTGAATTTTGAAGGCTATTTGCTCCATATTATTATTTGACTAACAACACTTCTAATGTATGTGACAGACAAATATAATTAATTTTATTAGGAGGGTGAGAAACGTTAGAAATCTATGCTTTAAGATTAGTCATATGGCCAGAAATGACTGAGATTCCTTAAAACGCATTTCGTCTCTTAGTTTGATAACTACCCCTTGCATGCTTTGCAATTGGTTGAAAAATTTCACATGTAGGCAGTAATGAAAATTTTTTTTAAAGTGACATCATAAACGCTACTATTTGAGATATATTTATTCTAAAGATTAAATCCAATACTGAACATACACTTCCAGTTACTATCTCAAACTTTATTTAAGATTTCATTGCTCGATATTTCATCATTTATGAGTTTAATCATACAAGAGACAGTTCTCAAATATAATTTTATCTTAAGTTAGCATATAGTTCTTTGAACAAATTCGTCATTACGAATTGAAAAATTATTTTTTGAATGTTACGCGGATGGGGCGAATAAAAGTTTGGTTTCTTTGGCTTATTTGATTATGGCAAAGCCCGCTAATCCTATCTGTCTAAGAGGAAGGGGTGCCTTCGTGGAGGATTTTCTAGAGAAACTGGCACGTTGCAAGGAAAAAGGCCAGAAAAATGCCCATGCAGCATTGCATGCAAACATGCATCCTTTCGCCTGGAATCGAACCTAGGTCAAACTACCAGCATTCACCGATTTTACCGCTCTGCTGCTGGTGAGCGCAAATACAGAATCATATCTAGATTGCATAATATGCTTATACTCAACGATATCTATCTACCTCTTTATATGGCCTGATCGTGGCTCTTTTAGCTGTTAAATGCGTTTCGCAGTGAAATAATTTTATTTTTGCAAAATAATTACAGTGTGAAACAGAAATCGCGGTTATAACACGCATTTCAAATAATCAGTAATTCATATTAGGCAGAAAGCAGTTTTAGTTTGGCATAGATTTTGAATTAAACTCTGCCTCATCGATTTCAAGGGCGGTCAAGCACTGATCCCTCATTTTTAGGAGCAAAAAACATTTTGCACGAAATAGGAAGAGCACAACCGTTTTAAACTGAAAATAATAGTTAAAACAAGACGAAAACAAATATAGAGCTATCTGTGGAGGAAAATAATAATCAGAATGTGAAAAACTATGATATTCCTACGGAAACTTAAATTAAAATCCGTATTTTAGGTAGGCTTTGTTTATATTTTTAACTTTTAGCTGTATGAAATTTTAGCTTTTATATATTTCCAGTACTACTACGATTTTGAGCAGCTGAAATCCTTTAATGAAAGCCTTCTTCGGGATCCTACAGTATCGATTGACATTAGGGGAAAAGTACCGAGGAAGCCCAAAGTTTTTCAGTTGTTCTTACACTGCCGTGGAAACCAGAGTGGGATGGCATCAATTGGAATTGACTTAAGGATACAAAACGACAGAGGAGCCTTTCTACCAGGGACGCCCTTAAAATTTCGATTACGGAAGGAATGTGACAATCATGGTAAGTGCCAGAAAGAATTTCGCAACTCTCTTTTTCGCAATTCTCTTTTATGAAAAGCAGCTTAAAGAACATACATAATTCTAAGTTGTCTGTACCTCACATATTGGCCTATTTAGTATGCAAACACATGCTAAGTAAATTTAAATTTGCATGATTTAGTAGTAGTTTTTGTACCGATTTAGTTTTGTATTGTCCAGAAAATAGATTTAGGTCTTGAGCTGATGTGTGATAAATATGGCTGTTTAGTAGATAGTTTAGCCTTGGTTGTTTTGTTTCAACCCATCCTTTAAAAATTCACTCCTCCCCATATAATATATTCATTCTCCAAGCAGATTTCCTAGATAATCAGGATTTCGCTTGCTTCTGTGTTACTAAAAAGTGAACTTAAGTTATTCAAACATCGCTTGTCTCTCCTTGCAAAATCTATCACGCACAAGATCTTGCTTTTTATATAAAGATCTGTTTCAAAAATGTAAACTTAACCTAGGTTTTAAATATTTACTCGTATTATACGAGTATTATATGTGCTCTACGAGATTCAGGTCTGGGATGAATTATCGATAAGCTCAGAAAGTACCGTATTTCCCAATGTATAAGATCACTTATCATTTAAAAATTTCGTGTCTGAAAACTGGTGAATCTTGTGCAACAGTGGCGTTGCGGCGAACGAAACAAAGCGTGAAAGTCTGTTGATGACGCATTTGCGGCTTGCACGTTAACCCATAGAATGCCGAGGTCTTCGCTCCCCTATTTCTTTAAAAAACCGAAACATCTGAAATTCCATTTGAGATTTCGCGGCCCAGCGGCCGAGCGGTAAAGACGCTGAACACTGGTAGTTCGGTCCGAGGTTCGAATCCCGCGAACAGGCTGGCTGCATGGGCGTTTTCGTGGTTTTCCCCATGTGTAACGTGTATACGAGCCAGTTTCCCTTAGAAAGTCCTCCCACGAAAGGCATCCCTCCTCTTAGGCAGATAGCCCTAGTGTGCTTTGCCATAATTAAATACACCTCTCCATTTGAGATTCACAACACGATTTCCTTAACAAAGAGGTGTGAAGGTTTCAAATAATATCGTTTCTAGTTCCTAACAAAGGAGCTTTTCCTGAGTGTATGCTAAGTCACTTTTAACATAAAAATAAATAGTCACAGAAGAATCTTTTTAAGACAACACTGTCTACAATAAATATGAAATGATACAATGCATTTCTAAAAACTGCACCTTAGGCTATTTTATACTTATACAGATAGGTCCACCTAATGAATGACAGTTTTGACAGTAATGATGAGTTGTATTCCGAATGATTTCAATAACTTTATGTAATATTTTTTGCCTTTTATATTATAATTTAGCAGCTTATTATAAAATAGTCCGACAATCCGAATAACTTTACTTTTTTTCTTCAATTTTAGGGTCCGAAAATTAAAGTTCGTCTTCATAGAAGCGCCTTATACAAGGGAAAATACGGTATTCTAGATCTGAAAGAGTAATTTAGAAAAAGTAATACAACCTGAAAACTTAAAATTTTTAAAACTTAAAGTACAAAATTTGAAAGATTCTAAAAAGCATTTTAGCCAATAAATATTAAAATGTTCACTTTCAAAGAGAGGGCGGACATGAAAGCGTATTTTTTGTCAAAAATGGATCATTTGAATGCGAAGAATATCCACGGGTATAATAATAATACTAAATAAATATCACTGGTAAAATAATACTAAAAAATGTATGTAATAAATGTATAAAGAATAAATAAAATTAAGGGGTATAAATACATGCTATGTTTCATATAATGCTATAAATTATAACATGCTGTGTCAGGTCTTGTTTAAAGAGTTAGTTAAAGATAATATAAATTGTATATAGAATAACTTAGAAATTTAATTTTATAAATAATTTTCAGCTCAGAACCCAATGACACCTAAAACTTAAAGCTACATGTAAGACAATTGGAACAAATTTGCATTTCACTGCAATTTGAATTTGTAACCTCTTTTATTATATGTAACAAAGCGAAATTGGCTTCTTTCTTTCCTCATGAGGGAATTGATGCAAGGACTGTATTTCAATAAACAATGCTTGCGCAGTTAGCAGCATTTCCTGATTTGATTTTAAAATTCTCCTTTTTTTTTTTTTTTTTTTTTTTTTTTTTTTTTTTTTTTTTTCAGTTCCTGATCCAGAATGTGATAAGAAATGTGCCAACGGAGGCAGGTGTAATCAGCATCGAATATGCGAATGCCCAAAAGGATATATGGGGAAATACTGTCATTCGGGTAAATATATTTTACACTGAATCAATAACTAAGTGAAACAAAAAGATTTTATTATGAATTATTCTGAGTTATTCGGCTAATTGGTATTGGTTAAGTGTCTCGTGGGCTAAGAGTCACGAACCCAAGCAAAACTACCATTTAAAGGCGATAAAAGTCGAGTGCAACATCCGTGTAACGGAGAAATCCGTCCGTGAAAATCCACAAATTAGCGATTAGAAAATGTGAGATCGCAAATCACTCGCAAAAGTGTGCGCATTCCGGAAATCGTTTTCTCACAGATCGCATGGCCCTAAGACATGAAGATATCGGTTTAATCGTTTCTAAAGCGAAACTGTTTGTGGGGTTATGCAAAATCGCAACGCCTTGTAATTGGCTTACGGAAGGAAGAAGCAAATGATTTATGTAAATGCGCTTTATACGTCATTTGATTTTTCAGATAAAAGTGGGGGTATTTGTCAGAGTTCTTATTGTTACAAATAAACAATGTCTCTAACCATGCAAGACCTTGCTTTTATTGTGAAATGATATTATGAATGACGTGCTTTGCAAAGATATCGTTAAGTAAGAGGAATACGCCGAGGGCCAATGACTCCTCAAGGTTTGGGGAAAATGATGGGAAAGTTTGAAGGTTGGTATCGGGTTTGTTATCTGTTGCACCTAGGTGGAGAAGGAAACCTTCTTCTGAGGAAACCAAGGAGGTTGTCGCATTAGCAGTGGAGGAAGCAACAACGGAAAGCACGCACAATACGTGCAGTGTACGGGCTGTTGCATGCCGAATGGTCGTATCATGCGGTACGTTGTACAAAACTGTCCTTAAAGTGCTGTATTTCTACCCATACAAAATCAAACATGTTCAAAAACTTGAACTTAACGATCCTGCTGCAAGAGAATCCTTCGCTTTAGAATTTCTTGCACTGATGGAAGTGGACGAACATTGACCATGGAACATTTTGTGGAGAAATGAGGCCCATTTTTAGCTAAAAGGCGATGTCAACATTCATAACTGCAGGACATGGGCCAAACAAAAAACAAATCTCTCATATTATCTACCCAGTTCCATTGCATTCTCTTTAAGTGACTGTTTGGTGTGACATGACAACTACTTTCATAACTGGACCATTTTTCTTTGAAGAGCAGTCGACAGGTAGACCTGTTACATGCACTGTGACTGCAGCTCGTTTAGCGTTAATGTTAAATGGTTTCGTGATACCTGAACTGCAGCAACGTGGCCTTTTAGACACCAGGATTTTTATTCAAGACGGACCCCACTGCACATTGGTACATGTGTCACACAGTTACATAGGCAACATTTCACAAATGAACGTATTATAGGCCGACACTTCCACACTTCTTAGCCACCCCGGTTACCCCCTGGGACTTTTGGCTATGGGTTATCTCAAAAGCACTATTTATGGTGATAATCTAAACAATTTGTCGGAATTGAAAGATGCGATACACCGACATGTCAATAACATTCCTTCTGATAAGCTGAGAGCTGAGAATGCAGTAATGATTTAACTTTCGGAAAATGGTGGACTCTACATTGAGCATGCTTCGCAACACCTTTCGGAAATGATTAAACACATTTTAAACCGATGTCTTCATGTCTTATTTCGTTTAACAATATTACAAACAGCGCCATTTTACCCTGGTGGTGAGTTTTTGAACTTTTTTTAGGAAAATAAATTCTCATGACATCTTTACACCATCACCAAGTTTGATAACATTTGGTCCAGTAGTTTTCTTTTTATGACCTTTTCAAAGCGGATTTTTTAATTATAACCACCCTGTACTTTAACAAGGGATGTACCTTGAAGTTCTTGTTAAGATTTCAAGTTTTTAAAGTATTTTGCACAAGTTGCAACATTTGAATACTTGGCAGTATGCATGCCTTTGTCTTATTCTTTGGTCTGCAGTATGTCGAGAGAAACCAAACGAGTTCTATATCGTACAGCATTCTATAGCTCATATTTATTTCAAAATTTATTAAATGTTCGTCTCAAATAATATTTGTATGTCTTTTTTTCAGCTCTCTGTTATCCACAGTGTATGAATGGAGGCACTTGTATCTCACCCGGACTATGCGCCTGCAGCGATGGCTATATAGGGCCCCATTGTGAAGGCGGTAATGTTTTTATTTCATGATGCAAATATCCAGTTTGTAATATGTATATTCATTTAAAATGCTGTGATATTATGCTTAGAAATTGAGTAGTCCATACTGCTGGGGAAAAGTCTGTCAACAGCATGCTGTTTTGCGATAGCACATTATGGATAGTTACTTATTACATTAAATGCTTATTACAGTAACCGAGAGAACACCCAGCAGGTAGTATAACAAGGGATAGAATAGAAAACCATTACAATGTTGTAATAATTTGCTTTCACAGATTCTTTCAAAATATACTCTAATAATATATAACAAAATGTAATTATGTAATAAGAAACCGGAAAGATAAATGCGAATGTGATGAGAAATTGTAAAAAGAAATGTAGATAGAAATCTAAAATTATAACAATGTATGTAACAAAATGGCAATCGGAAAATGTAACGAAATATATAATAAAATTATGTACGAGAGAAGTTTATTTAAATAAATTCCGCTGGTCTCCTGGCTATGCCCTGGCCTGGGTCTTGCTCATTGTAGATAATCTCCATATAACAAGCAAACAGGCTAATAGTCTTCACTGGCAAAAACAGCCGCTTATTATGTGCTACTACTACTACAACTTTGTGTAACAAGTGCCTGCACGTGTCGAATTCTCTAAATCGTTTAACAGCGCTATCACGTGCTGACCATGCGAAGAAATCTAAATTTCTACACGCACAACCTATTCTTACTGTATCCAGCATTTATTATAATTTTCCATATTTTGTTTCCTTTCATCTTGTGGTTGCTATAGACAATAGTGTTGTCCATCTTCAACTACTGTCTAGTGTATATGTTACCGTGAAAGACCGAAACTGGAGAATGTCGACATTCACCGGAGAATGTCAACATTCACCAAATACGTCAGTGAAAGATCGAATATTGCATTACATTCTTATACATTTGGACCCTCACCGGTGTATATCGACAATCACAGATATGCTCTGGTGTAGGTCGAAAAGAGAAGAGTATATGTACACGCTTGTCATTGCAAAAGGAAGTGTTCCACAAATAAAAGCAGTAGTAAAAGCAAGGGCCTCTTGTGCAATTCAAAGTATCATAATAGTTTAAGTTGTTGTAATAAATAAGATTTGAATCACATAATTTAGTTAAGTTTTTAACTTCTATTATTTTCCTTTCTCATTTTGATTGTACTATATGTTTTAAGTTCTTATATTCACAACTTCTTATTTTAAGTCTCAAGTGCGTTTTTTCGCGACTGAATGACGGAGAAGAAAATATAATATTCTTATATGTTCAACATTCACCATTAGTACATGATGAATGTCGACATTTACCGGTGTAAGTCAGAAATAAGAGTATTTGGAAAATATTTCGGACATACACCAAGCGACTATGTGAATGTTGACATTCACCGATGGAAGTCGACATTCTCCAGATTTCGATGTTTCACCGTAACATATACGTTAAGGCTTAGAATTCTCTGTATTTAGTTTAATAATAAATTCACCAGTTTGGATTTTTTTCTGTAAAACTATATATAAAACGAAATTTTATATTTACAGAGTCCCTATAAGGCCACTGCGAGTTTCCATCTTATTATAAGTGAGTCTGTAATATGAAATACAAGTTTAGGTATACGATCAATGTTTGAGAAAATAAAACCTGCAGTCACAATCTCCCAGATCTCCGTATAATTATATATATATGTGTTTGTATGTGTGTGCACTTTCAGTTATAGCTTTAAAAATGATTTATAAAAATGCTAATTTTTTTTCTATCCAATCTAGGAATGTGTCTCGAAAAATGTTTAAATGGCGGTAAGTGTATAAACAAAGACACTTGCTTGTGTAGAAATGGGTACTATGGGGCACGATGTGAATACAGTAAGTATACTTCTATATGGCATATGTTCTATTTACAGTGAGAATATTCCATATTTTTCTATCAGTGAAATGCTAGTGTCTAGACACTTTTCACAGTAACTTTATATGTTCGTTTGGAGAGAAAATTTTGCATATTTTTAATACAAATAATATTCCTCTGCTTTCTCTGTTTTTGAAATTAAGACTATATGATGTCTCTATATTTCGTCGTAAAAGGACACCCATGAGAAATTACATGAAAAATATGCTTATGAATTTACATGAAAAATATTCACATCAGAAAGTATAAACGGACAACTCCACCCGAAGGTAATGGAGGCGACGCAAAGATACACCAAAAATACAGTACAGAAAACAGTGTACAGTATTTTACTAGGCGAAACTAACAGTAGAATAGATGAGAAATTTAGAATATCCGGTTTCACAAGAAGTGTTAAAAGTGTCTAATATTCGCAGTGATTCTTGCGTAATACAGATCCCGTATTAGACTGCCGAAGATTTTAAGATACCTGTAGTTTTGCTGATATTAGAAACGACAATGTCAGTTCTTTCCTGGAGGTCTATGTCAGAAGTAACGGGTGCTTTGCACATGATAGTCTTAACGGTTCTCCACAGAGAGAAATCGATACTAGATAAATGCGACACATAACTGGGCACCTTTCGTGATATATTTTACAGCAGTTTTGTCCATTACCATTAGCTAACCCATACACGAACCGCTTGTCCAGTAACTCAGCATCCGTAATGGTGTTATCAGATCTAGCAACAAGTGACGCTATAAGAAACTTATCCAAGGAACGAGTTTCTACCAGCACTAGTTTAAACGTCAGGAAAAGTCAGGGAATTGAAATTCCCTGACTTTTCCAGATTTTGACTAAAAGCTAGATTTTCAGCTTTCCAGATTTCCAGAAGCTTTCTAGATTATGGCGATTTTTGGGTATAAAAAAGCGAGTTTTACGCCAACATTTGGAAGTGATCACTTCTTGGCGAATTATGCATCGCGTGAGCGTCATTCGGGCAGCTGACGGGCAGAGCCAATTTTCGCAGCTCCAATCAGATTGTCTTTTAGAAACGCAAAGCAAGTTTCCAGTAACCTCGAGAATCGACAGGCCCGTTCCTAGTGGGTTTGCAGCATGTTAAAGTACTCGGACGGCCGGACTCTCGTAATACCGCGCCTAAATAGTTCAAATTCGTTGCAAGTACCTGCCATATTTAAATACTTTTTGTACAGTTTGTCATATGTAAGTGCTTAGAGAGTATGAAGTAAAAATTTTATTAATCATACAGCATTCTTTTTTTCTTAATTTGAGGGCGGCAATCTTAGGAAAGTACGCAGGACCATTGGCTGACCGGAATGGTCCAGAGAATCGAAAGACTTGCTTGCGCATGTGCAGTGCATGTTGAACTAAAGAAAATAACGTCTCATTCTCATATAAAACAAAACCGGTTTAATCCTAGTACAGAGGCATAGCTAGTGTTTTTAGCGCCCGGGGACAACTGAAGATACTGTCCTAGTACATGGTACGCACGAGATTAGGCGACATTATGATAAGCATGACGGGTCATTTTGGCGATGGCGACAATTTTCAAAATCGTGCCAAGGTGGTAGCATATATACTAGGATTTTATCACAAAATCATTTTAACTTTTTTTTTTTTTTTTCGTTTTAATAAATGCCTAATTTGTCATTTTGTAGTAAAATAAAAAAATAGTAATCAGTCATCTAGCTACCATTAATATAACTATAATTACCAAATATCGCTGATTATGTAACATTTTTAGTAATTCCTTTATTTTAATGTTATGCGTTCATTTATGTGGCTTCTTCCATCTAATTTATTTATTTTTAATAATCATACTTCAATTCAGGCTTTTTCTGGCATAATCCTAAACATTCTAAGCAGGATTTCCTTCACTAAATTTAATGCAAATATTTTTGCTTATGCATCTGCTAAGTAAATAAACTACCTAATTTTTTAAAAGTTCATAGTTTTTCTTCGTTTAGCTAAAGTCTCAAAAAGACTTTTTAATTAGATTGGCAGTTTTTAATCTCATCTTTAGTGGAGAAAATAACTCCTATTATATTTATATAGTAATGCGTTGGGAATTTCTATATATCTATCGCATATCTTGTCTATAGTTCAATAGATGTTTAGTTAAAATTATAGGCTATTTATAAAGTATAGGTTCATTATAAAATTATGTATTAAGTATTTCTAATCTATGAGAAGAGAGGTTATGATAGGCATTTAAAGCCAGTTGGCTATGTCTCTCTCTTCCTCATACTCTAAATTTTTCTGCTTCACTATGTACAAATCTTTGCTCTCCCGCCCTCGCTTTGGCGGGGACCTGTACCTCTCCCCCTCACTCTGGCTTGCTCTCCCGAACGGGCAACCCTAATGAACTTGCGCAATTCAGAATCTTCTCCCTAACCATATTTCGAGAACATTCTGGAGTTGTCACTGCTTGTAAACTACAGATTGCGCCCTTTTTACTCAGACTGCTTTTCTCTTCATGCATCAACCTTGCTGCTGCGTGTCTCCTGTTCGAAGAGTATGGTGCAGTAAATTTAAAGTAATTTATGGATTTTTAAAACGTTATCGGATTGTATTTTGGAGACTTAATCTAAAATAACAATGATCTGTCATTTGCATGGAATAAAGATATGAAGCTATAAAGTTATTCTTCTTTGTCGTCACTGGATGCCTTAATTTGCACTCAGCCAAGCCCGAATTCTGATGCCAATCTTCTTAATTCCTGTGCCTGACTGCCCAAAATTATTACATATATATATATTTGTGTTTTCAAATGGTACCATAATTAATTCACCTCTCAGCACAGCCAACATGCACTACGCAGACAGACTGGAATTTTCTAAAAAAATACCTGGAAAAGTCAGGCAATTTCATTTTCCTCTTTGAGTGGTAACCCTGGTTACTGTATTTTGTAGCTGTACGAGTTAAGCAAAACTACTAATTACTCATATCTATAGCAGAGCAAGAAATTATCGTTTTGCAAGGAAGCAAGAAGGATTCCGTGTATACTAATTTAATTCAGCACTTATATTTGCTAGGAATTAAAGGCATTCTTCCGTGTTTATAGCATAGTGTAGTAGTCAGTACGTCCATGTAACAGTTGGAAACTTGCATTTCTTAATATACCCATAATATTTAATTTTATTATTATTATTATTATTATCCATTTTTAAAATTCATCGTATTAAACTCTAATCGCGCATGCACATAAAATTTACTGCAAATAAGAATTGTGAGCACGTTTTTATTTCCAGGTTAAATTTAAGTGAGATGCATGTTAACTTCCTTTTGTAGTTAAATTAATCACTCGTAAAATGGTTGTAAGATAAACATTATTGAAGATAAATCTTAAAACCATACGTACCGTATTCGAAACGTACATAAATAACAAACGTACTTCTGATCGTATCGTAAACATTTGAGCGTAATCATCTGAAAGATATTTTTAAATTATAAATAGAACGACATCCAGAATAATCTTGCCATTTCTCATGATATTTTTCTATAACATTAAAAATTACAATCTTCTTCTTCGACCATCCTGACTTTTCAATGTCCTATTGACCAAATCTTGTCATATATAAAGAACAAGTAAACAACAATAAATTAAGTAGGTAAAAAAAAGTAAAACAATAGATTTTTAAAAATTCTATAAGTCCTACCAAGTCTCTATAGCGCAATGGTTGAGCACATTTCGCTTGGCTTTTAATTCGCCGTCACCTCGTCATTATCTCATCTTCTGTTATTTCGAATGAGCCTCGAATCTTTTTTTATCACGTGAATCAGCTTGGTGGGGCTTTCGACAACCCATTTTTGATCTGTTAAATTGGACAAGATCTATATCGTGACCGCGTGGCAGCTGTTCTTCTCATTTGCTTCAATCTTATAGTTGCTTCTCCTTCCATTCCACTTTGACTGCATTGAGTGTCATTCGTATGATAGTGGGGTTTTGCTATTAAAGCACTTTGATAAATAGTCTGGATTCCAGTGATTGTCTCTTCCACCTCCTAAACTCTTTGTCGTTTTCTTTCATTTTGTTCATCTTCACTTCCATCACGTTCAACGTTTGTGGAAGTCCTATGAATATATAATACAATATTGCATGAAGTAAAGATGACGTAATTGCCTTCGCAAAGGCCTTGAGGGTAGTTGTGCTTTCATCTTACATTCTTTTGGCTCTGACTACCATCACTTTCGTCATTCTGTCTTTGCCTTGGATGAATGGTGTTAGAGAACATTGGCCACAGTGTCGATTTCTATTGCAGCCAGCATTTTCTTTTTGGAGCTTAACACTTCTATCGCTAACGTTAATCACTGGTATACAAGTTTCGCCGCCATTTTTTTATTTTCTAATAAACATCGGATTTTCTATCATAATTAATCCTTATCTACAGATCGTTTGAGAACTGACAAGACTGATCGTATTTTTTTCTTCTCTAATTCATTTTCTCAGAGCTTTAAGGCAGACTCGATTTATTTTTTCATCATTGGAGGTCACAAATAGTTCATTCCTATACCCGAAGTGAAATCTTTTTCCTATTCTGACATAAGCGATGTGAGGTAGATCAAGCCATTAAAATTATAAATGGAACGACATCCACAAATTAGCTGTTGCCATTTTCTCAATAGATATTTTGTCTAATAACAATTAAATAATTTACAATCGTTCTTACATGCATTTCGCATGTCTTAAACTGTGACTAGTCTCTTCATGTTTTTATTCTTAAAATATAAAGACGAAATTGAAATAGTAGTTTTCCATTTCTATTTGTGTTTCGTACTTATTATGCATACGAGAAAAAATTTCCTCATCAAACCATTATTCATTTCATTGTATATGAAGTACTAGTATAAATTTAATAGGTATATTAAAGTTTTCCTCATTTCACAGGTAAATGTACTGTCGTCCCATGTCTAAACGGAGGTCGTTGTGTCGGAATAAATAAATGTCGTTGTAAGAAGGGATACACTGGTCCTCAATGTGAAGGGCTGCTTGAAAGACCAAGTCTTGCAAAACATGGTACATAATTTTTCATCATATATTCTTATATATATATAATATCATCGTCCTTCAGTATTTTTTCGTATTTATTTATTCTTTCAGTAACTATTGATTTTTATGTTGCAATAATTTTATAAATTAGTATATCAAAATAGGTTTTTCAAGATCATTTTGCAAAAGAAAGAGCTTCGCGAGGTTTTTATGTTGTACAGATAATGGCACTTCGGACTGCAATAAAATTAGCATGGCCAGTCATTTCACTGTGCGTGATGAAACAAAGCAGTGGCGTAGCAAGAGCATTTGTTTTCCAGAGTGATTCAGATAGTTTTCATTTGCATGTGATTGCTCTTAAAATTTTCATAACATGCGTGTTCTCCCTGTTTTTTTCCTCTTCTTGGTAGAAAGCTCTACCACTGAGCCAGCGTCTGCACTGGAATCTTCACTTCCCATGTTCACAAGCACTGTTGAAGAACTAATGGATGAAATCAGCGCAAAGAATGTGCATGTAAAGAAAGAAAGCTTCCATAGACGTAATGTAAACTAATTTACCTTCCATGCCTCTGTTATCCCGAGGGAGACATTCTCGTCTTCAGGTCCCGTTGCCAAATCGCCAAGTAAACATAAAATTCATAAATAGTAAGAAAGTCAAAGAACTTATAGGATTAATCTTAATCCTACTTGAGCGGATCACTGATGTGATTTACGGTGATACAGCAGGGGAATATCTCAGAAATCTGAACTCTTGACAAACGTGAGCTTCGACCTTCGGTAACTGTTGCAAAAAGGTAGTAAGGCTCTCGATCAGCTTCGATACCGATTCGACATCTATTTCGCGCATGCGCAAAAAAGGTATTAAGGCTGGATTGGCAGCCCCTGTAAAGTAAACTTCCAGTACATTTTCCCCTCTGCGGTCTGCTGCGGCTTTCGTTCTTAACACACGTTATTTGACCAACAGGTCGTCGTTACAAGAGATAAAAACGAAAAAAGATTGCTAAGAGGAAGCTGGGCGCAAATGCTTCTTCCCTTTTGACGCGTAGACGAAATTTGTTTTTCACCAGCATCCAAAATCTTTCCTTCAATGGATATGAATACTTTTTTTTCCAAAAGTGATTCACGATTTTCCAAAAGCTATTCCTATTGACCGTAAGATGGCATTATTATTTCAATTTTCAACAAAAATAGGGACATAAATGGTTTTCTCAGAGAGCTTCATATCAATATCTTTGAAAATTAGATTTACTTGTTTTGAGAAAGGCAGTATGTTTAGAGCAAACCAGACAAAAAAAAAAAAAAAACTTTAAAAATGATATTTACATTAATAAAACAACATCAAAAACACTCTAAATGTCTGTCGGTACGGAAAATCTGTGAAGATTGATTCAAAGGAGAGTAACATTTGTTTTTTGACAAAAAAGCGGATTTTGAAACAAAGCGCTAATTGTTGGTCATTACTTATATATCTCTTCTAGCTACACTGTATGCTAAAAACAATATCTGAATTGCTAAGTTTGACATTTTTTCTGGCCATCCCCCGACGAAAAAATTATATTTATGTTAAATTAAACTTATGTTATTTGATTTTTAGTCATTTTCTTTTACTTTCATATTAAACTCAAAAATGTTGTATGAAGTTCAGTGTAAAAAGTTCAGTCGAAAAGTGTATTTGTACGTAGTTCAATCGAAGAAAAGTTCATGCATTTGTCTTCTCTTATTTAAATAAATTTCATAAATTTAGTCCAAAACCTTTATGCATGACACAAAAATATTTTATGCATTTTAGAGTTACCAAAAAAGAAAATTCATCTTATTTTAGACTGAAATGAACTACTTTAGAGATTACTTTAAGTAATGTGGTAAATTATTTAATTTTATTTAAAGAATGTGTTATTTTTAGAGTATTTCTTTGTTGTAACAAAGCACACCAGTTTATTTAGAGAAATATAATTAATCTGTTTCCTACCTTGGTTATTTAAACAATTTTGAAAATTTTAGTGTAGTTGTAAGAATAATTATATTTTTCCTACCACTTAAATTGATCCAAAAATCTCTTTATTTATCATGCATTTGCCCATTGTAGCAGAAATTTTTATTTTAATCTGCAACCGAAGAATTTTATCTAATCTGGTTTGTGATTACTAATTATTTGCATAATTTTCATATTTCGTATAAATAATAAATGCTGATATATATTAAGTAAGTTATGAATTTTTAAAAACCTGTAATTTAATATGCTTGAATTTGCTACAACGTAATTCTGCGTAGTTTTGTAAAATGCATATTTATTAATTTGAATTAAGTTTTTTTCTCCCTTTCCATTTATTTAAGAATTAATCTACTTTTTAAACCAATTGAAGTCCTTTCTAAGAGTCATCCTATAGCTATATTTGCATTAAAATTTTACTTTTTGCTATTTTATTGCCAGCTTAAGAGCTTACAGGAATTTCTTAGTGATTTCGAGTTGCATGGCATGCTCACAAAATCATAGCTACTCAGCAGTTTAATTTTTTATACCTATTAGTTTCAGAAAGTTGCAAGAAGAAATGTGCCAACGGGATTTGCCACAACAAGAGATGTGTCTGTGACAAAGGCTGGTTCGGCAACAAGTGCAATAGGAGTAAGTGATTGTGCAACAACAAAGGCAACAAATCTTCATTTTTTTCTATTACCTGTTATCTTCTACTATTATCTAATTCTCAAAACGCGGATAGTAGATATACGCACACTCTCCAAAATGTATAAAAACTTTTAAAAAATACTACTTTTCTGGTGTTACTATAAAAAATAAAATATTTGTTTTGATGTATCTAAATTATCCCTCGATTTGCACGGAAGATAGGTTCCGCACAAAACCGTGTAAATCGAAATCTTTGATTTTGCTATGTAAAACCGTGTAAAACGAAAAACACACTAAATATGCATAATTTAGTTATTTATTTACATAAAACAAAAGTAAGATATCTTAAAATAAATACAGTTATACATCGTTCATAAAATAACAAATATATGTAGGTAATAGAAGTACATATTTAATTTATTTTATATTAGAGAAATATAAGATCATCCAAAAAATTATTATAGGTTTAATCACTGTCATCACTTTCATGAACCTAGTCTTTTCTTCTTGATTGGTACGATGTCACTTGAGCGTTCTTGACGAGATTCAGCTTCAATGGTTGACGAATAAGGGAAGACTTTGTGGTGAAATCCGTAATTAACAACAGCCTAGGTTCCCCCCCCCTAAATCTTTGTAAACCTCCTCATATTGATTTAAGCACTTACTAACCTCCCGTTGGAATAAGAGAGCTCGTTCAACATTCGTGTCATATTGTAAAAAATGATTACCTAATTTTTGTTATAAGTCCTACGCTTATGACTCTTGCTGTGAACGCAACTGTTTCAGATTGCTCTTCATCAGAATCATTGTCTTCATCATGTTTATTTGTTTCATGAATCATGTTAACTAACTCATCCTCATTTAGTTCTTCATCAACCATTATTCCTTTAATATATGCTTGAGCTAAATCCTCAAAAACCTTCTCCTACTATTTTGAGCCAATTTAGTGATCTGAGAAAATTCACACTCTAATGGTAATCTATCATTCTCATCTTTAGCAACATCCAGCGTATTGCTTTCCAGCATGCGTTGAGCAGTTGATTGTTTAATCTGAATATATGGCAGTCCAACATGTTTTACACAATCTAAGATTGTAAATTGTAATCTAAGATTGTAGACTGTAAATTTTCCAGGCATCCATAAGAGTAAGAGATTCATCATTCTCCATTTGTTCTAAAATATACCTGAAGTTTTGTTTGATATACAATGACTTAAAGTCGAAATTATTCCTTGTTCTAACGGCTGTAAATAAGGAAGTTGTATTCTTTCGTAAAACGACAACTTCTACTTTTTCGTGTTGTAAATCTTGAGGATGATCAGGTGCATTATCAATTAATAGAAGAGCCCTTAAAAGGCAATGCCTTTTTACTTAAATAATTTTTGACATATGGGACAAACATATTATGAAATCATTCATTGAAAGCTATGGCAGTGACCCACCCTTTCTTATTAGCCATCCAATAAACGGGAAGGTTATTTATATTTATTCCTTTAAATGAGCGTTGTGTTCTTGATTTGTTAATAACCAATGGTTTCATTATATAATCGCCTGAAGCGCTGCAACAGAAAAGAATTGTTATACGACTTTTCGCTACCTTATGACCACTAGCTAATTTGCAAGCTTTAGCTAAACAGGTTCTTTCAGGCATGTTTTTTCCAGAACAACCCAGACTCGTCAGTATTGAAGATCTGATAAGAAGTGTAGAGTTGGTGGAAATGATTTCAGCAAATTTTGCTGGATATTGTTGTGCTGCATCCGAATCAGCAGACGCACTTTTTCCTTTCAATCTTAGATTATGTAAAGGATGTCTTTGCTTAAATCTCTCAGTGGCGACTCGTAATAAGCACTGTGGAACTGCAGCACTCCCAATTTCCACTTATTATTATTTTTAATATTTAATATAGTGTGCCTTTAGTCTTTAATTCTTTTTTATACTTTGACAATACATAATCCTTAAGCTTTATGTCAGTGCCATCCCCACTTGTCGCCGAAATTTGGATGTTGTTCGAAAGTGATTTCTTTTTTCGCGCGAGTGGTAGTCCTCCAAAGGTGGAACTTCATCATACGGACCATAAACAGAGTTCATGAAAATTTGAACCTTTAAAAAATTGTCTTTCTGAATTCAATCAACATCCAATGCAGAACAACAACAAATGAAAAATGTTCCTATTGCAAAAGCAATAGGAATTTTAAAATATCTAACTGATGATAATTTCAGTTTTGGTTAGAGCTTTTCATCAGATACCTCATGCTGAATAATATACAATCAAATGCAATTCAGAGCGAAATTAGGTGTTTAAAGTTAACGAATATATAACAAATTCCAAAACTGCTATCTTAGAATTAAGAAACTCAAAGTACTGTGAGAATTTTCTAAAGACACGATGGCAGAAGAATAGAAGAAGGAAATATGTGACTTTTATACTATGTACTGATATAATGCAGAGATATTCTTCCACTAAACACTTAGCAGCTTTAAATTGTTACACAAGAAATGCTTCGCCTAGTTTTAGGAATGACATTCTACAGAAGAATAGTACTGACCACTGAAGCATATCCAATGATTGACAAAGAAAAGCTTGAAACTGAACTAAAGTATTCTATTGTAGGTGTGATATCCATGAATATGCAAACTAAATGAGCTACTGAATTTATCTTCGAAAAATTCTGATGATGTTCTTAGTGGAATTACGAAACTGATAAAAATTCTCTGAGAGTTCCATGACTAATCAGAGGCAGAACGCTGCTTTTCAACATTAAAAACTTTTCTAAGAAGCACTGAATCGGAAAGACTAAATACGCTTGATTGCTTTCACTAAAGAAAATCTCCTCAGTTGTCATCCAGAGATCAAGGAGAAAATTAATGATATTTCGCGCAAAGTAAAAACAAGAAGAATGGATTCATTTTTAAATGAATAGACAAAGAGTGAACTGTAAAATTTGGTTAAAGTAATTAAGAAATGCTAATTTTTTTATTGTAAGATTTCTGATGTTTCAAAATAAATTTTCTTTTATACATGTTTGTTCCTTTCAGACAATTTTAAAACAAAGGTTAAATTTCTTTGGAACAGCACCTCCACTAATTTTAGCCACGAGCCGCCACTGAAATCTCTCAAACCAACCATGACTTGCGCAAAAAGATGCCTTTTTTTTTTCATTTGACGAAGTCGACGGTGTCTGATTCTTAAGTGCTTTATAAATCTTTAAAGCCTTACTTGTAATAGCATTAGTATCAATTTGAATTTGGTTTTCTATCCATTTCACTAATGCCTTTTCCATATTTTCCATTGTATCATCTCTTACATATGAAATTTTGTTTTTACTGCTGCAAGTTCCAGCTGCTACACTTCTAATAGAGTCTTCATTTTTTTAAATTGTCCTTACTGTGGCTTCCTTCATGGAGTAAAATTTAGCAGCATCTGTTACTCTTTCTCTATTACGTAGATGATCTAACATTTTAATTTTTGTTTCTAAAGAAATAACGTTTCTTTTTATTTGAATTTTTTTTCCAAATTATTTGGCATTATAAAGCCTTAAAAAATTTACGGAAATTATAAATGTTAAAAACTGACCAATAAACATTCAAATATTGAGATAAAAAGCTTTGCTGCTAAAACACTAGTTCACATCAGCCAAATAGCTTTACTGTTGTGAAATACATATACATACTTACGGGGATTACACGTTTACTACACGTGAAATCCCAATCCTTGTTGTTGTACCCAGTGTTACCAAAGAAATGAAATTCAAAAATGACTTATAATTCAAATGAATTCAAAATGAAATACTATATGTATTTGCGTATATGCAGCCGAATATACATTTTTACCAAGTTTTATAAATCCGTTAATTTTTAAATCGAGTAAAGACGAAATCATGTAAAAGGAGTACCGCGTAAATCGAGCGATTTAATCGATTAAATCGAGCGATTAAATTTTATTCAATTCAAATTTCTGCTATTAAATTGTTATTTCCGAAGTCCTGACTTTTAGTCTAAGTAGTTAACAACAATTTAAAAATTTAGTAATGAGATCGAGTTGTTTCATTTTAGTATACAGGCAAATATTTTCTGAATTTATAGCATTCATTAGATAAAATTGCATATTTCTCATATTCTGATGGCTGTGGTGACTTCTGCACTTTGTGGCATTTGTGGGTCCTTTTCAGTTTTACTGATATATATATCTTTCTACGAGCTTCGAAATTCTTTAAATAAGTACGATTCTACATCTTCGAGCATTTATATAATTGCATTATTTTATGCCACAAAATATTGTTGCTAATATTTAAATCTTTTTGACTGCTTTGTTGTTTTCATGCACTGTTGTGATATTTTGACTGCTTTATTTACTAGTCCAAATGGGCTTTATCCCTGAAGGACTACTGTTTTCGTTTTGCGTTGAAAACTTTAAAAGGCTGTATCACTTTTCAGATCGTTGCCACCAAATACTATCACCCTGTATTATACTTGATGAAATTAAATAATAAAGAATCTGCATAAATGTATGTAAGCAACGAACGGTACCTAGAGCCATCCAATTTTGAATGACGTAATCCTACTGCGAATATGGACATCTGAAAGCCCAAATTTGAAATTTGGAATTTGTTTTATTATCGATTTCATATTTTGTAAAACTTTCAAATTTTTTATTAGCAAACTCAACGATTTCAAAGTGAGCAATGGCAATATTCTATGGGGAAAAAAACCTTTTTATCTCCAGTGTGCGGAACTGTGTATCGGAAATTCTAAAAATATGCTCATTTTAAAATTACTTTGTGACATTGCTGTTGAACTGAATTTTATGGTTTAAGTGCAAAGAACATGATATTTAATAAATAAAGGTAACATTGAAAAAACATCCTTTTATACGTAATTTAAAATCTGAAATTTTTAAGATTTTTTTTATTTATTAATTTTTTCATTTTGGCTAATGGTTTTAGAATTTATTTTATGTTTAATCCAATTTTTTGCTCTGTGTTTTGTAGATAAGGGTTTACTTCTTGTCTAGGAATGTATATCTTTCTATGCTGAGTCCAACAACATTCAGATTATAAAAATTAGCTCAATTAAAATGCGAAATATTGGCGAAAATATTCCTAATGGGCTTTAACAAAAATTTTTGTCTTCAAGTTGCACACATTTGGAGATTATTCTAAAACTTGGTGAATTCCAGGAAGACTCGGGAAGACACAATTTCGAAGCTCTAGGTACGACTTTTTTCAAATCTTCCAGAAGCCTGTGCAGTGCCATATGAATATGGCTCCGAGATCCAAGATAATTTATCAATTAGCTCATAATTATTGTTACTCAACTGCACAAAAATTCAACTCAACTGCACAAAAATTCAGCAAATTGCTTTTTAGTGTTTATTGTTTTAGTGCTTTGGGAACGATCCTTTTTGAGTGCTAAGGAATTGCTTATATCTCCTTTTCCCTTGAGCTTTATACAGCTGTTTGTTTTATTGTGTGTCGTTATTATTTACACCAGATTTCTAATTTTTTCTTACTCATTGAGAATGATTATTTAAAGTGAGTCACAAAATCATAGCTCGCAACATTAAATTTCTAAATTAAAACTATAATGACTAACAGAATAAATATAAGGGATATAGATCCCTGATTCAGGTAATTTAAAAACGGATAAAATGTACTATTAGCAGCCATAATGAAGGGTGTTTTATAAAGTAAAAGCAGATTAAGAAGAAACGGTCTTTCTTACAGTCATCTCACATATTATGAAAAAGATACATTCTCAATTTCAGTGAACCTGAACATAATTATGACTCATAATTGCATTCGTCAAAGTCCGCAAAATCAATCTGTGTTATAAATCTTTGCTTCTCGGATCTCCAAACCAGATTCCATAGAACTTTTTTCTCTGAGACTCGTTAATGATAACCTTTGAGGACCCTTTTTACTCTATCACGTTACCAGAAATTAGGCAGAAAGTTGTTGCAGTAGTTGATTTAATGAAACTGCTATGATCCATATTGCTGATTCAAGAATTTTTTTTTTTTTTTTTTTTTAAATGGCGGGTTTTAGCTATTTTTAGGCTTGCGACACTACTAAGGCCAGAAGTGGTGATCATTTTATTATGTGCGCACCTATTAGGCCGCCACCGCTACCTCTTATGAGGGGAGAGACAGTTTACATCCATGTCTTCTCAGGATTCGAACTCGGCCCCTTCGGTATCGCAGGCCCGAGTTCGAATGGTTTGATGATTGAAATGTCAGGTGGCTGAATATGACTAAACATACCAAAGTGAGTTACGGAAGACAGGTTTTTTTTTTCCCTCAAAAATTTGTTTCTCTGGCATCTTTAAAAAAAGTGTGGGGGGGGGCTGGATATGGATAAATGCTAGTACAAAATTAGGCTTTTAGATGTCTTCACTGAGCATGTAGAGAATTTTGAATCAGCAGCTACTAGTTACCATCCTGCATTTCGAAGACGCCATCGCTAATCAGAGTCACCTCGAGTTTAAAGATCGCACGCAGGGGAAAACTGCGTCTTTGAACCTAAGAAATGCGGTATTTTTTTATTCGTTGAGGCATGAAATTATAAAGGAAAAAAAATCTGAAAGGTTTCAGATTTTAAATTACGTCCAAAGGGGAGTTTTTTAACGTTTTGTGTGTTACCTTTATTTATTAAATATCACGTTCTTTGCACTTAAACCATGAAATTCAGTTCAATAGCAATGTCACAAAATAATTTTAAAATGAGCATATCTTTAGAATTTCCGATACACAGTTTCGCGCGGTGCAGATAAAAAGGTTTCCCCCCTCCCCGGTAGAGTGTTGCCATTTCTCGCTTTTAAATCGTTGAGTTTGTTACTCAAAAATTCGTTAAAGTTTTACAAAATATGAAATCTATAATAAAACAAATTTCAAATTTGGTGTGCCACACGCCCATATTCGTAGGAGGATTACGTCATTCAAAAATCGATGGCTCTATGTACCGTTGTTTTATCAGAATGCGAGAAAAATACATACATTTATGCAGATTATTCATTATTTAATTTCTTCAAATATAATGCAGGACTCTAACATTTGGTGGCAACAGTTTGAAAAGTGAAAAGGACATTTATAGTGATTCAACGCAAAATCGCAAAACAAAAGCTATAGTCCTTCAGAGACAAAGCCCCTTTGGACTAATAAAACAAAAATTTAGGTCAAATTATATTTTGGATAACTGTATTAAGAACAAAAACAGCTTTTGTCTTTTATTTACAAATGTCATATTACTAATCGTACTTTTTAGTTGGTCCTTTTGCAGAGTTACAACTTTCTTTATTTAAATAATTTATACACCGACAGACCACTTTATTATGACCATCTGATAGTTTGAAGCAAATTAGCTATGGCATTACATTGTGGCCGATAGAGGGCTAAGCTTGCATAAATAGCTCTCTACGAATATTGAGGAAATAACTTTTACACATTGTTTTTAAAGAACTCTTCCTTTTCCAAGAACCTGTTCCTTTGGTCACAGAGGCTAAATATTTAAGAATCATTCTAAATCAAAGACTCACATGGTCCAACCACATTAAAAGTCAAATTCAGCTTCATCAATTGCAAGTTGTACAGAACAAATTTCTGTGCATAGTTACTGACTCCCACTATCTTATTCGTAATGAACTTTTACATAGAGATTTAAAGCTTGAGACAATTCCAGATTATATCAGAAGATCCAATAAAAAATTCTTCAACAAAGCTGTGCCGTGTGACTTTGTAAATTACTCTCAAGCTTTTAATTAAGAAATTCTCTTCGAAGATCGAAGCTTCAGGCCACTGGCAGCACACACCTTCCTGGGAGGAGATGACAACTTCATCACTTAGTTCTCAGTTGGTAGCTGTTTATACTTCTAATGCATCTGATCTTGATAGAAGTATTTCTGCTGTTTAAATATTGTTCTTAGAAATTGTGGTAGCTATTGCTGTGATATAATTTGCATTGTTGTGATCAAATAGTTGTGTTGTAACTTTGTAGCCTAGGTTGTTGTAGAATTGCTGTAGCGAATTGTGTTGTATCCTTGCATTGAATTGTGTTATTTAGTTGTATTGATTGAGGTTGTATTGAAGAATTTGAGTTTGTCATTGAAGCCATTGCTGTAGTGTAGTGTATTATATTGTTGTCATTGAACTTGCATTGTCTTGGATTCTTCTAGAAAACTGATCGCTCGTCACGTTTTAAGAACTGGTCTGACTAAATTGACTTGCTCCTTTTGGTACTTCTCTTTTTTCCCTTTCTCCGTTTTTTCTTTTGAGATTGCTTCCACATCCAGATTTCATTACGTCATGTGCCCCAGGGCTTTATTTCTGGAACCGGCAACGTTGCTCTTGGCAATAGTTCGGTCAATAATCGAGTCTAAGTCTTATGAGGAAATCAACGACACGAAAAACTTTTTATGGGGTGATCATAATAAAATGGCCACTTAATGTAGTAAATGAATCGCTTTTGTGAACTTTTAGGGTTAAAAAATTTACATAGAATATTCAGCTGTGGAATACAATTTTGTATAAAAAAAATTTAAAAATCAATTTTATTGTAATCTTAATAAAAGAAAACATAGCTTTATTTTGACAGTATGGTTTTATTTCAGGAAGGCCAAAAAGAAGGTGGCAAAGAAAACTCTTACATTAAATATTAATTCCAGTACGTAGGATTCATCAGCTGACTGCTCTGCAATACATCATATGGTGTTGATTTGTTGATGCAAGTTAAACGATGTTCAAGACAATTTTCAAAGAGGAAAAGCTTCGCCACTTAAAAATGCGCCTATCAAGTTTTGCAGGTTTTTAAATGTGCTGAATTTAATACCTTATTGCGGCAGTTTTAAGAAAAGCAAAATTGGACGAAGATTTCCCTTTTGAATATTTGTATTTTCGTATATAACACAAAGTCCGAAATCTAGAATGATCTAATATCCAGATCTCCGGGTCAACAGCATTTTTTTTCTAACACAGAGGAGAAAGATTCCAGAAGTAGTTTCTTGCTTTAGTATATGCTTAATGTTTCAAGCTTGCACGGCAGTCATTTTTCATAATAAAAGTATGTCAGAGTTCCCGATTCTAAATTTCATTTCGATACTAATTAAAACACTTATGTTGAAGAAACATAATCATTTATTAGCTTAAATCTATATGATCAATAATTTGATGGCTCTGTAACTGCCTTTTCGCTCAGCATAAATTTCAAACAGAAACTTTCTACAAAAGTTCATGGCTGATTTAATATGGATTCGCTGGTAAATAACTTACATCTATGACGCCAATCTGGCAATCATTTTTTACTTTCATCACCACGTGACTATCAGCTCATGACAATTTGAGAATGCAGCGATATATATATATATTTTTAATATTAGTAATGGAACACCCAACAGCACGGTGAAATCCAATAGTGAACAACACATAACGATGAACACTTTAGCCAGCTACTTTGCGCAGCATTTTTGTTGAAAAAGAGGAATTTAACAGAAATTTGTTTCCACATGCAAAAAAATAGATTCCGTAAATGATATTCATATGCCAAAAGGTTACATTTAATGTTGTTTGAATTAGTAAGAACTGAATTGTTATTCACATAAGCTTTAAGTATATACGGGAATGAATTTATTCGAGACTCAGATAAGCCTTAAGTACATGCAAGAAATAGATGTAAGTATACTCAGTAACTCAGCTTATAGAATTCAGGCACAACTCCCGCAGTATGTGACAGAAGAAAGACAAAATTTAGTGGAACAGCATGTTTTTAGTAGTCAGTTTCATGATATATCGCCAATAGAGTATAGGCGTTGCCAGCTAAGCAACCGACAGAGAAGAAAGTGGCAAAGAAGTTGCTGAGAAGGAAAAAATTGCGATTCCCAATTTAATGGAAATCTTTGACTCGGCAAATTACAGAAACTTTGCAACGGAACAAGAAATTATATGAAATATTTAATAACTTGCACAGAAAGAAATGTTTATAAATCAAATAAATAAATACCGAGCTTTTTTTTGTAAATTTTGATTCCCTTAAGACCATAAATGCTTTATTGTTTCATAAAAATCATTTCATGTTTTTAATTTTATAATTTCTACACCAGAAAATTCCGGAATCGCTGAAGTCCTGAGGTGTCCGAATCTTGGACTTCGTACTATGGTACGACTTTTTTTTTTCACATGCTATTTGAATTCGAGTTTTCCAGAAAAATATGAAATTGTTCGTTGCATACTTTACATGTGTGTCATGCATACATGCTGAAACACAATTCTGTTATCCGCTCGCAGTTTGCTGTTGAAAGGTTTATCTAATAAAGTTCATTAAGAAATGGAACAGGATAAATATGAAAAAAGAAATTCAAAGAAAAAAAGAAATTGTTTTATTTTACCTTACGATCAATTTAAAAAGGAAAAAAAAAAAATTCCCCCTAAAATATATAAGAAAATTATGAACATTTTATAGATATTGCATGAAGAAGCTCATATTTTAGATTTAATTCTCATGTTTAAAGGTAATTTCGGGCAGGTTTAAGTACAATTTTTTAGATGTTTGTGCATTTGGGGAAAAAAGAGGAAACAAGATGGAAAAGGAAGAAAAGAACACCTTTTTTTCCCTAACATATAAAAATATTACGAACATTTTCTACATATTCCTTCATGAAGCTCATATTTCACCAGATTTAATCCTCATGTTTTAAGGTAATTTCGGGTAGGCTTAAGTACAATGTTTAAGATGTTTGTGCATTGAGGGAAAAAAAAGAAGGAAAATTTTTTTAAAATACATAAGAATACTAGGAACAATTTCTACATATTGCTTCATGAAGCTTATATTTTAGCAGATTTAACTCTCACGTTTTAATATAATTTCAGGCAGATTTAAGTACAGCTTTTTAGATGTTTGTGTATTGTATATTATTCACATTTCTTGTGGAAATATAACTTAAGACAGAAGGTAGCAATAAAATTCAATCTTTTACCAGCGACAAACCCTTGAAACCCGTATCGAGAGATCTGGTATTTAAATTTTTGATCAAAGTATTTAATTTTCTAATAAACAATATGGTAAATTTATTTTAACTATTGAAAACTATAAATTAACAGAAAGTTAATGTATTGCGAAATACATTTTAGCATTTGTTATTATTTCCCTTAAGGCAGCTGAGCCCCGATTTGGTTGAATTTCGAATTCTGTCGCTAATTTATATATCATATGACAGGGGTAATCAAACTGCAGTTGAGTCGAAGCCACATGCTAGAATTCAGAAATTTCAAGTCTTAAAAATTAAATTATTAACTGTTATAAAGGTGTGTCGTAGGCCAATATGTCAAATTATAGTATTATTTAATAAATAAAACTACTGCTTAACACAACAAGAGCCGCGTTTAGCAAGTCAAAGAGCCACACTTTGGCCATGCCTGTCATTTGATACTGAATAATAATTTTATATTTATTTCAAATTATAATTCCAGTGAATAATCTAATACTAATTTCACATGTATTAAGAACACATAGCTGATAGGTATGCGTAATATTAATTAAGGAGAAATGTTCCTAAGTCAAAAGGGTCGATGATGTGTAACTTTTCTTTAAAATAATTTTTTTTTATAATAATTGATTTATGAGCTTTATATACGAGGGCAATCCCCCAAAAAAGGTCTCCTATTTTTGGGGGACGTAGAGAAAGTTTTAATACGGTAGTTGGCAACACTGTTGTGAGTGGTGCTTTCTCCACTACCACATAAGCATGCAGGCGCTTCGCTCGGATGCTCAGTCTTGGCTTGGCAGCCATTCGAAATAGAGCTCCCGATAAACGTTACCGCCAAGTGCGAAGTGCGCGCAGTTATTTGATTTTTGAATGCAAAATGCGTTAAACTGGTTGAAATTCACCGCTTATTGACGGAAGTGCATGGACAGTCGTGCATGGATGTCAAAACGTTCGCAAGTGGTGTAGAGAGTTTACAGCCGGTCGTACTGAAATTCATAACGAAGAAGGAGCGGGAGGCCGTCAATTGCCGACGAGACAATCGCGAAAGTTAAGGAACTCGTGCGTAAAGATCGGAGGATCACTCTGGATGCTTTCTCTGCATTTTGGTTCCTGAGGTTTTCAGAAGCACCATCCACAGGATTTTAACGGAAAAGTTGCAATATCGGAAGGTGTGTGCAAGATGGGTGCCGCGTATGTTGACAGAAGACCACAAACAGCAACGGGTTGATTCTTCCCGCAAATTTCTTCGCCGCTATGGAGACGAAAAGGACAACTTCTTGAACTTCTTGGAAAGATGAGGGTCAACGCTTCCTGAAGGGCATGGCGGCAAGCTGGTATGACATGGGCATTGTAAAACTGCCACAGCGTCTACAAAAATGCATCGACTGAAATGGTGATTATGTTGAAAAATAAAGCATTCTTCAATCTTTAAAGAGATGTAGCAATTATAGAAAATAAACGGTTCTTAGTATATCTAAAAATATAGGAGACCTTTTTTTTGGGGTTGCCCTCGTAGTTAACCTAATTAAAACAAATTATTTAAAGCTTTATTTGATCAATAAAAACTTACTCCGTATTTTCCTTTTACATCAAAGTTCTCTTACTTCCCAAAGATTATTGCTGGCAGAGAGCAATCACTTAACATCTTCACTATTACTTATAATTACTTCCGAAACTTCCCCATAATGTTAAATAAACAGCATTATTAGCATTAAAAGAACACGAATGAGTGAATGCTGATCAAATGCGGTCAACTCATAAATTACAAATGACCCTAAACACGGGGGATGATGAAAACGAGGAGATTGCCCACTTCGGAGTCGGAATGTGGGGGTCGTTTAAACATCTAACTTCTCTGCATTCAATTTTATAGAAAGGAAAATAAGAAAACGAAATGAATTCGTTGAATGAATGCAATTTTATACAATGAAAATGGATTATTCAACGATAAACTGCAAGGCAAATAACATTTTTTTACATATTTGTTACATCAAGGAATCTGTAGTATAAATATTGAGTTTTGCACTTGAAGTGCTACGTTATATGTATACGAAGTATCTGAGAAAATAGTCTTAACTCAAATATCTTTCAGCCTCTTCACGAGTAAGGACCGTGTATCAAATTACAAATACATTGTGGTCGCAGCTTTTTAGTTAAATTTGTAATGTCATGTAAACATTTAATTATTTTTGATTCGGGACTTATGAATTAAATAACGCAAACTAAACTGCAGAAAATTCTTAAGAATGAAGTTAATAATACTGAAAAATACATTATTGATGCTGTTTTTGGTTATATACATATCCGTTACTCTGGAATCCTTAAATTATTATATCTGTATGTATACTGATACATATAAATGGAACAAGGTATAAAATATCTATGAAAAAATCTTAAATATACAATGGTCATTCATGTAATTATATTTATGTAATATCAATGTAAATGGTTAGGTTTTTGAAACAATTAGAAGTTTTTCAATTACATATATACATGCATATTATACACACCATTTTATAAGTATAAATAAAATATAGTAATAGCTACTTATCTCTCTATATACATGACTTGAAAATTGCCCTATTTTATATATACTTATAAAATGGTTTGGTCTCCGTTTACCCGGTATTCGAACCCCGGACCTCCTTCTCTCTCTCTCTCTCACACACACATATACGTATATAAATGTGTATGTATGTTTATATGTAGTACATACATACACATTAAATTATATTTACATGTTGTTGCCACAGTGCAAATCAGTGATAAAGAATTATAAAATATTCTACGGAATTGCTTCGCTTCCTAGACTTTTTTTGTAAGCTTCAGCATATTTTTAAAAGAATCTCAAAGCTGATTCCTTTTCCAACCCGTTTATGTATCTTATTTTTCTGCAGTGAGTGATATTTAGAGAATTATTTCACATGATTATATCTGAAAATGCAATTTTATAAATGAAGTATTTAAGGGTAAGAAGAGAATTAGGCCTTTTTCTAATTATTCTTGGAGCATTTAAAGTTTTTAAGAGAATGCCACATTAATACAAATCACTAAACTAAGGTACTAGATACAAGACAGATTAATTAGCTAATGAACTTTAGTGAGTAAAAATGAATTCATCTGCATTCTGTAAGAAAGGAAACATCCCCCCCCCAAAAACCTTTTTCTATTTTCGCAGTCATAAATTTTTCCTTACATATTCAAATAATTCATATTCGAATATTACATTCCATTATAATAAGTAATAATTACCTCAATTTTAATTGATTTTAACTGTCATTTCATCTCTGCTTAATAATTACCTCAATTTTAATTGATTTTAACTGTCATTTCATCCCTTTAGAGTTCAGTAGCAGTCAATCATCATTTTTTCCTGTCCGTTTTCCTTTATAGTACGTTTACGTTATATATATTTATACACGTTGCTCCTACTCTTTACTTGCAACTTTTAATACCTCTGGGAAAAATTCAATATGGGAATCCAGAAAATGATTCTTAGTTACACTAAAACCTCAATCACATTATGTTTCGGTTACGCGGGACTTGACGCCGAAAGGGACAATTCTCAGAACCAGCATAATTCCAGGAAACCCACGTAGCTAGGTTACCATTTTCACTTACTACAAAGACTTGAACGCCAAACACTAATCGATTATCGCTCAGATTGGGATCACGTGATGCTTCAGAAGCAAAACTTTCGTCTGATTGGTTGTCTCTACACGAGACAGAGGTCCAGTCGAGACATTTTCAGTGAGGTATGAAAAAAATCCCGCCTAGCCGCAACATCGTTTCCGTAGCTAGGCGGTACTTCGCTTCAGGCGGGGCTTTTTTTTTTCTTCCCATTTACATCAGTGCTACCAGAACATCGTTTCTCAGAAAAGTCCCATCTCGCAGGGCCTGTAGCAAAGTGTGATAACCTCTTAAGATTCAATGTTTCATTATTACCCTCTGGATTAAACACTTATTCGTTATTTGATGAAGTGTACTGCAGACAGATGTTCGGCATTTGTAAAGAAAAGAAAGATGAATCAAAATGAATTA